GGGGAATGAGGGAGCAGGAATTGCTCAGAACAAATGATTTTCATAATAAGCCTGGTTTAACTGCTTATGAAAAATAAAGTTTAAAAAGAAAACTACCATAGTTTCTCATTCTTTAGCTGGTCACAACCTAGTCCCATGTAACCTAGGCAATCTTTATCTCCCAACTCTCCCAATGCCCTGCCTGAACACGTCACCCATTACCAGTGTATGTGTTATGTGGGTGTGGGGAGGGGGGACAAGTTCATCCAAGTTCCCTCCCATCTGCCCTTGGTCCAGCTCAAGTCCTGTCTCCAACAGACCCGTTCGGAGCCTGCTGAGCCTCCTTTGCTCTCCAATCCACTTGGCAGAGCAACAATGGTCTAAATTATTAGTGGATGAATATTACTTATTACATTGGCTAGCTAGTTCAGATATGGAGCTCTCCTCCCTAAGTAAGTTGTAAACTTATAAAGGAAGTGCAAGATTCCTTTTTGATATCTGGCAAATGTCCATAGTAGGTGCCCAAAAAACATTTCATGAATAAACTCAAAAGTAGAATTCAAGGTGAATTAACAGACAGATCTAAAACAAAGTCTGGAGATAAAACGAAGGTTAGATTAAAGCTGTGGCTGTTAATGGTTAAGGCATCTAGAGGACCTAACTGTATCAAGATACAGTGGCCTTCAAAGCTCTGTGGTCTACTTTTTCAGTTAATGTTTAAGTTGAGTTGTTTTAATAAAGAGATATCTTGCCCCCAAAGTACTCTCAAGTTCCAAGTTTTGGTAACCCAGGCCTTGGAAAGTAAATAGTAAATGTACTCTACCCTGCCAGCAGCCCTGGGAGAGCAATACAGTGGAAGACAACCTTGAGTCAATGTTCAGAATGAGCAGGAGTCCTTGATCTTGGGCCCATTCATTCCATGCTCTTTTGGTCCCACTGTGGTTTCACTTCCATTAAATGGAGAAGATACCTGGAATTTGCTGACATCATTCATTCCATGCTCTTTTGGCCCCACTGTGGTTTCACTTCCATTAAATGGAGAAGATACCTGGCATTTGCTGACGTCCCCGAGAAGGGGAAACCTGGTGCTCTTGGCAAATACCCTGGCAATATGCTCTGAAGTCTTCAAATGTTCAGATCCTGGCTAAAGGGACAGGAGCCTGCAGCTATATCCAGAGATCTGTCTCAGTTCCAGCCCTGGTAGTGACAATTCTTGCCTGGTGCCTGTCATCTCCACTCCACCAGGCCACAAACCCTCCTAGCTGTGTCGGTGATTCAGCTGTAGGGGCATACTGGTCCTGAGGGTGGTGGTCTCAGAGCAAATTCTATGGATATTAATCCCGGAGAAAACCCTCCTGAAGGACCAATGCCTTAGCCAAGACTGGAGCACGTTCTAGTTGGCTCTTCTCCTGTTAGTAAGAGGAATGAAAGCATGGAGGTATTGGGAGACCCACAGAGCTAGGGGCGAAAGACAGCACCTCCAGTGTTCAGGGGAAACTCCTGAGTCGCAAAGCCTGCCTCTCACATATGCAGGAAAATATATCCTCCCTCTCACTGCATCTTAAATTACACAGCTCCCGTCCCCTGGCCTTCAGAGCACTTGAATGTGCTCCCGCTCCTGCCACCGACCTTCCCCACCTGTGGAACTTGTTTCGGTTTCTCACTGCTCACACGAAGCATCTTCACAAAGCCTCCCTGTGTTGTGTCTGTGCCATTTCTGTGAAGTTTCCTCAAGACACTGGGTGTTACTGGCTGGAGAATCATGGTGGATCAAGGAGGGGGAGCTCTAAATTTTGGTCCCCCCCACTCAGCCATTGGTGCTGCCAGAGGAGGGCCAGGCCCAAAGGGAAGAAACGGATTAAGAGGCACAGGGAGCCTCAAACAGTGCTCCTCAGGCACCGACACACTACAGGTCTTGTCGAAACGCAGGCTTGGATTTAACAGGGCTGGGGCAGGCCCAAGATTCTGCATTTTTAACAAACTCCTGGTTGCAGGCCATGCTTTGAGTGGCAAGAGCCAAGACTGAGGAGGGAAAAGTGGAGAAAGAGGTGAACAGAAAGAGGGAAAAGTGGAGAACAGGGCCCACGGAAGGTGAGCGGGGAAAGCGGGGGAAGAACAAGCTCCAGGCAAGGTGGTCTGCTAGAGCAACCGCTACACCACCTTGGGTCTCCAAGGACCTCCCCGCAGGGCCTTCTGGGGCAGGGGCCTCTGTGGCCCACATGATGGCTACAATGGGGTGCTCTGGTACTCTCCCTTCCCCTTGCATTCCACAGGACTGGAGCACACAGTGTGCCTGCCAGCTGCATGCTAATGGAGGGCCAGAGGCTGGAGACTGTCTCATTCCCTCCATTCTGTCAGGGCAGGGAGCCCTGCCTTGGCTGGGGACAACTGCCATGCTAGCTCGGGCCCCTAACTCCAGGGCGGTTCCACCGTGGAACAACAGATTCTACAGGCTGGGCCCAGGGATAGCAGATGGGCTCTTTCCCCTCCTAAGTCTCGCCTGAGAAACTACTCCCCGAAGCCAAAGGAGTGACCACCTTCACTTCCTCCAACAGCAGCGTCCATTAACCCCGCTTACCGTGCGAAAGGCTGTGTGTGCAGCGCCCTCCCCCATGGTTTTATTTAGTCCTCACATTTACCCTCACAGGTAGGAACTGGCTTATCCCCACTGTATAAGGGAAGTGAAGCTCCAGACTAATTTGCCCAAAGCCTCACAGCTAATAAGACTCAACCCTCCCCACCCTGGCACTAAACCCTAACCGAACTCGTGAGGCTAGGAGCCTAGGGGATTATGTCTAAGAGAGAAGCCTCGAGATAGTTTAGATGACACAAGACAACCAAGGCAAGTTAATTTGGTTTATAACCCTTTGAAGGTCCCTCCACCAGTTTCCACTGAACCAGTAACAGAAGGCTCTTCGGTGCCAGCTGGCAGGGACACCCCAGGACCCTGAAGGCGGGAACGTGCAGGTGGCTGTGAACTGGGCTCAACGGCTGAGCAGAGTTATTGGGTGGAGAGTGGACTCAACAGGTAGCACCAAATCAATCTGAGGAGCTGGCCTGCCAGGCTGCTGACAGGAGGGTCATCTAGGACCATCTGAATCAAATGGCACCAGCCCAACTATCCACACCTCGAAGGAACGTAACATAGCATCCTGGGATGGAAATGTACTTTCAACTTTGGTTCTTCATTTAAGAAACTGAAGTGCCAGGGCGCCTGGGTGGCTCAGTGGGTTAAAGCCTCTGCCTTCGGCTCGGGTCATGATCTCAGGGTCCTGGGATCGAGCCCCGCGTCGGGCTCTCTGCTCCGCGGGGAGCCTGCTTCCTCCTCTCTCTCTGCCTGCCTCTCTGCCTACTTGTGATTTCTGTCAAATAAATAAAATCTTTAAAAAAAAAAAAAAAAAAAAAGAAACTGAAGTGCCCACAAACACTGTGCTAGACTTTGTGGGACTCTGAGACACTCTTACCCTTAATGAAAACAACTAGCAGGTTGGGCACACAAGTAAGCAGTGGTGAGGACTGTGGTGACCTGGAGAATTCTGCTCAAAGCTGCTTTACTACCTTGTTTCAGTTGGTTGTAGCCTCTCAGGAAGAAGAAAAATCTAGCGATTTTTCAAGCAAATCCCCAAATCAAAACATGAACCTATTTTGAAAAACAAAACGCAGGCCAACATGTGTCCACTAGTTCACAACCTCTGCTCCTCACTGACCATGCTCAGTTTTTCCTGTTATGTCCTTAGCACCTCACAAAACCTGGCAGGAAGGAACATGCACACTGACCAGGCGAAGCTTATCCAGGGGGAACGAGTCTGAATCTCCATCACAGAAGAAGAGCTGATGCAACCGGGGAGGATTTTTAGCCTCAGAAATGACGAGAGGTCCGAGAGTTGTTGCACAAATAAGAAAATCTTTATGTGCGCCTGAATGGCTCAGTCGTTAAGCATCTGCCTTCTGCTCAGGTCATGACCCCAGCGTCCTGGAATCGATCCTGGAATGGAGGCCCACACTGGGCTCCCTACTCGGCAGGAGGTCTGCTTCTCTCTCCCCCACTCCCCCTGCTTGTGTCCTCTCTTTCTCTGTGTCTCGCTCTGTCAAATAAATAAGATCTTAAAAAAAAAGAAAAAGAAAAGAAAATCTTTATAAAGCTAGAGCATATGGTTCAGCCAACATTGTGGGGGACAGGGATAGGGAGGAGGCTGCTTTTAGGTAAAATATATATTTGACAACTGACTTGGGTCCCCACTACTGTCTATGGCTCTGTCCACCTATACCCCTTCTTCACTTGCCTGGTCCTTAAAGGCATTTGGGCTTTCATACTTGGTAAGGGGAATTCAGGCTTTGCCTTGAGTCCCAAATGTCCAACCTATTACCTAAGAATACTATCCAACTTGGTGTTCTTTTCTAAGGATTAAAATGAAACAGTAAGGAATAAAAGTGCTTGGCACATTTGGCAAAGGTTCAAGAAACATTCACCATTGTTTAGATTTAGATGTTTTCTAAAAAGGACCAAGATACACACTTACTGTCAATGCAAAGTTACAGGGAGTCTGTAAACAATACTTGAGAGGTACCTAGGTGACTGAGTTGGTTAAACATTTGACTCCTGACTTTGGCTCAGATTGTCATCTTGGGGTCATGGGATTGAGCCCTGCTCAAGCTCCACAAGTCTGCTTCCCCTCTCCCCCATCCTTGCTCGTTCTCTTTCAAAAAAATGAAATCTTAAAAAAAAAAAAAAAAAAAAAAAAAGGACCAAATTATTTGGTTTGGCCAAAACCTTCTGGTCTGACCTTTGCTTTACAAACAGTTCCCATGATGGGAGCCTGGGTGGCTCAGCTGGTTAAGCCACTGCCTTTGGCTCAGGTCATGATCATGGAGTCCCAGGATCAACAAGACCCAGGATTGAGTCCGGCATCAGGCTCCCCGCTCAGCAGGGAGTCTGCTTCTCCCTCTGACCCTCCCCTCTCTTGTGCTTTCTCACTCTCTCAAATAAATAAAATAAAATCTTTAAAAACAAAACAAAACAGTTCCCAGTATAAAGTTTTATTGATCTCTTTACAACTCCAGTGTCAAGGCCCAGGAGCTTCAATTAGAGTACTGGCCTCGCCACACTCCTCTCCCATTACTAGGCCCAAATGTTCAGATCCTGGCTAAAGGGACAGGAGCCTGCAGCTATATCCAGAGATCTGTCTCAGTTCCAGCCCCTGGTAGTGACAATTCTTGCCTGGTGCCTGTCATCTCCACATAGGGACTCCACTCCTCTCCCATTACCAAATGCACCTAACTTCAGAGGTTGCTTCACATCACACCCCTCTGTCCCTCATTCCTCGAGTGCTGGTTTTTTCCCCATATGCACTCACTCTGTGGGTAGTATCATCCAGCTTTTAGATATTGTCCCAACAATGACTCCCTAATTTCTATCCCTGGCCTAAATTATCTCCTGAACTCCAGATCCACGGTTTGCAATTGCCTACTAAACAGTTTCATGTGGATGTAGAGTATGCATCTATAATTTACCACATCCAAAAATGAACTCACCTCCCCCAATAAACTTTTTCTACCCACAGCCCTCCAAATCTCAGCTGATGGCCCTTCCAGGCTTCTAGTTGCCCATGTCCATAAGCTCAAAGTAAGAGGATGACTGAAAAGCAGTCTGACCCACAAGGCCCATTCTCTAAAAAAGAAGGTGGTCCTGGGTACTGGGATCAAAGATATCATATAATCACTAACATGTTTTCTGAAATATACTTGAAATTAACTCACTATAAGTCTAGGTTTAGATTTTGACATTTTAATTTCTTTTGAATATGTCACTTTGTGCAAGCTAGGAACCAGAATCAAACCACGGCAGTCTAGTCCATCTAGGAATCCAGGCTGAGTCTTGCAATCTTCAGCAGAATGACATCATAATGCAAGATGCTAACAACAAGTTTATAATCTCTAAATAACAACCACTTATCTACATTTTTTTCCTTAGGAAACAGCCAAAATCCAGTCCTTAAAGGCATGATATACAGAACATCTTGATCTACAAAGAACAGAATAACCCATATTTTATGCTGGCCAGCTTACTGGTGGCTGACCAAGGACTAGTGAACAGAGGGGTGTTTACCTTCTAGGAACTTGCTCTGAGACTTAAAAAAGTCCTGGCTGCTGTTAATAAGAAAGCAAGTAAAAAATATTACAGATGCACCTACATTGACATTTGATTTGCCAAGGTCTTCCACTAGAACACAAAGTGAGAGATGAGTGTAGGGGTAAGCTACTTAGATGTTTTCAAAATAAATTACTAGTAACATGAAATTTGACATATTAAATTCTTCCATTTGCTACCAGAACTGACAATGAGGACTATTTAAAAGAAATGCTGAACTCTAACAAGGGTGGCAGCAGTAACATTCTGCACTACACAAGAACCTCCTACTTTCCCACATCATTAACATTGCTACTCTTCCAAGATACATATTCGTGTGGAAAAACTTAACAGCTTTTGCCAGAGCCAGGAGATGAAAAGTAGAGCATGTCCTAATTAGTTAATTTGTCATTGCAAGCTCAGTTGACATCTTGAGGATGGACCCGTAAAATCTGGCCATTCTTTTGTTTAACATCTGCAAACTGCAGAATGCCTTAGCCCTTTGCCAGTTTCCGCTCAGTATCTTAAAGCTGGTCTCAGTCCCATCTGTGACTCTTCTCAGGGTTGAGGGTGGGTTAGCTAGTCATCAAAATCTGGAATGTCATCGTAGGAGTAACCCCGGTAGCCTTTGGATGCATAGTAGGCGATGCGCAGGTGGTAAAATCCTGGCAGGAACACCAGGATGCCAATGATCAGGACGGGAACGGCCCGGTCTGCCCCCTAGTGGCAGAAGGAGGCAAACACATTAGTACCATACAAACGATCACTTTTTTTTTTTTTTTTTTTTAAAGATTTTATTTATTTATTTGACAGAGAGAAATCACAAGTAGGCAGAGAGGCAGGCAGAGAGAGAGGAGGAAGCAGGCACCCTGCTAAGCAGAAAGCCCGATGTGGGGCTTGAACCCAGGACCTGGGATCTTGACCTGAGCCGAAGGCAGCGGCTTAACCCACTGAGCCACCCAGGCGCCCCCAAACGATCACTTTTAAAAATAAAACAAAGCCATAGGTTCAACCCATACATCAGTATTTTATACTCTTCAGAGCATTTCCTTTGGGTAGTATGCTACCAAAGGAACAGGTTTACATCTCTTTTCCTCCTTATTATAAAATGCAGAAAAACTACAAAGCACTAAAAATTATAAATAAATTGTCCATCTGCATCCACAGATATTTCCTTTACTTCTGTTCTCCATTCTAGTTTCTAGTTGTGAACACACTACACCCTGTGCCTTGTTTTAGTCTCTTAATATAACAAGCAATTGCCAAAGTCTTATGAGAAGTTCTGCACTGGGGGTGGGAGACAGGCAAAATGGGTGAAGATAGTCAGAAGGTACAAATTTCCATTCATAAAATAAGTTCTGGAGATGCAGTGTACAGCATGGTGATTATAGCTAAAAACACTGTATTGTGTACTATTAGCAAGTTGCTGAGAGTAGATCTTAAAAGTTCTCATTACAAGGAAAAAAACTAACTATGTGTGGTGATGGATGCTAACTAGACTTATTGTGACCATTTCCCAATATATACTATATTGAATCATGTTGTACACCTGAAACTAACACATTATGTCAACTAATGGTGTCTACCATTCCACTGTAATGGATGCACCACAATTTTACTTAACTATGCCCCACCGACTGTTGGATACTTTAGTTGTCTCTCACTTTTTTTTTTTTTTTTTAAGATTTTATTTAGTTATTTGACAGACAGAGATCACAAGTAGGCAGAGAGGCAGGCAGAGAGAGAGAGGAAGGGAAGCAGGCTCTCCGCCAAGCAGAGAGCCCGATGTGGGGCTCGATCCCAGGACCCTGAGACCATAACCTGAGCCGAAGGCAGAGGCTTTAACCCACTGAGCCACCCAGGCGCCCCTCTCACTTTTTGTAACTGTACAGGATAACACAATAAACTTCTTTTTCTTAGCCTTTCAGATTCTTTAGTGTATATTCCCATAATCACAATTCACAGGTCAAAGAGGAAGAAATGGTGTTTAGAGTAGGGCTTCAACTATTTGGGGAGTTCCAGGAGGACAGGGACTTTTGTTCATCCCTAGATCACCACCTGCACCCAATATATAAATAAATATATTAAATGAATGAATCCACTCCTATAAAATTGCTCTGCCTTATTTTTAGGTATAGTTTTATTTATTTTTTTATTTTTTTATTTTTTTAGGTATAGTTTTAAATGTTTATACAGTTAAGCTTATTCTCTTTTTCCTCTGTGATTTTTTTCCCATTAATTTTTTTTTCTTTTTATTAACATATATGTGTTACTTGCTTCAGGGGTACAGGTCTGTGAATCATCAGGCTTACACATTTCACAGCATTCACCATAGCACATACCCTCCCCAATGTCCATAACCCAGTCACACTATCCCTTCCCCCAACCCCCCAGCAACCCTCAAGTTTGTTTCCTGAGATTAAGAGTCTCTTATGGTTTGTCTCCCTCCCTGGTCCCTTTTTGTTTCATTTTTTTCCCCTCCCTACCCCCCCACAACCCCCCAACTCTACCTTTCAAATTCCTTGTATCAGAAAGATCACATGGTAATTGTCTTTCTCTGATTGACTTATTTCACTTAGCATAATAACCTCTAGTTCCATCCACGTTGTTGCAAATGGCAGGATTTCATGATTTTTAAAAAATAAATTATTTATTTTTTAAATTAACATATAATGTATTATTAGCCCCAGGGGGATTTTGCGGGTTTTGATGGCTGCATAGTATTCCACTGTATATCTATACCACATCTTCTTTACCCATTTATCTGTTGATGGACATCTAGGTTCTTTCCATAGTTTGGCTGTTGTGGACGTTGCTGCTATAAACATTTGGGTGCATGTGCCCTTCAGATCACTACATTTGTATCTTTAGGGCAAATACCCAGTAGTGTGATTGCTGAGTCATAGGGTAGCTCTATTTTCAACTTTTGGAGGAAGCTCCATACTGTTTTCCAGAGTGGCTGCACCAGCTTGCATTCCCACCAACAGTGTAGGAGGGTTCCCCTTTCTCCACATCCTCGCCAACAACTGTCATTTCCTGATTTGTTAATTTTAGCCGTGGTATCTCACTGTGGTTCTGATTTGTATTTCCTTGATGCCGAGTGATGTTGAGCACTTTTTCATGTCTCTGTCGGCCATTTGGATGTCTTCTTTGCAGAAATGTCTGTTCATGCTTCTGCCCATTTCTTGACTGGAGTATCTGTTCTTCGGGTGTTGAGTTTGATAGTTCTTTATAGATTTTGGATACTAGCCCTTTATCTGATAAGTCATTTTTCCCATTAATTTTAAGTCTTCCTTCAACTAAGGATTTAAACCCAGTCTAAAAATCTTTTTTTAAAAAAAATTTATTTATTTGTCAGAGAGAGCAGGCACTTGCGCACAACCAGGTGGAGTGACAGGCAGAGGGAGAAGCAGGCTTCCTGGTGAGCAAGGAGCCCAATGTGGGACTCAATTCCAGGACCCTGGGATCATGACCTGAGCCGAAGGCAGATACTTAACCGAGCCACCCAACCGTCCCTAAAAATCTCCTTTTAACACGGCTAGTTACGCAATGTATATTGGTAGATTATCTACTCCATATAATTTTGATTGTGTTGTTCAAATAGAAATAGGAGTATTTACCTCATATAAGACAGTAAAAACTAAGTGAGGTAATATGTGTAAAGCAAGCAGCCTCAGCTGACACACAATGACTCAATAAATCCCAGCTTAAAACCAAGGAAAGAAAAAAACAAAACAAAACAAGGAAAGAGAACTTGAAGGGGCTCTCTCAGCCTAAGGATGGGACTACGTGAACATCAGAAACAATAGCAGTCTACAACTCTCACAACTGACATACTTGGTGCTATTTCTGTTATCTTATTTTCATTTTCTACTTTCCTTCTTCTTTTTTTCTTTTGCAAGATATTGACTGTACATCCTTAGTGGGGTTAAAGAACTGCAAAGGAAATTTATAGTGCATTTAGCCTTCCTATACTTAGCATTAACACTCACGCTGGTATTTTTTTTTTTAAAGACGTTATTTATTTTTTGTCAGAAAGACAGAGAGAGACAGAGAGTGAGCACAAGGAGCAGCAGGCAAAGGGAGCTGAGCCAGGAGCCCGACGTGGGACTCAATCCCAGGACCCTGGGATCATAACCTGAGTCAAAGGCAGCTGCTTAACTGACTGAGCCATGCAGGCATCCCTGTTATCTTTTTTTTTTTTTCAAGATTTATTTATTTGAGAGAGAGAGAGAGAAAAAGAGAGCGCACACGTGTGCGCACACATGAGCCAGTTGGGGGTGGGGTGGAGCACAGAGGGACAAGTAGACTCCACACTGAGCATGGAGCCCAACATGGGGCTCAATCTCACAACTCTGAGATCATGACCTAAGCTGAAACCAAGAGTCAGAGGCTTAATGGACTGAGCCACCCAGGTGCTCCCCGCAATATTATTTTAAAGCTATTATACGTATAACATAGAATAAGGCAAGTAAGTAATGACATCACTACCACAGGGTAGATATACCCATACAATATCAAAGAAATTAAGCTCTAATTAAATTAACTCTAATCTTAAATTTGCACTGAAAACTGTTTTCTAAAAGATACCTATTTCTTGGGGTGCCTGGGTGGCTCAGTGGGTTAAAGCCTCTGCTTTCGGCTCAGGTCATGATCTCAGAGTCCTGGGATCAAGCCCCACATCGGGCTCTCTGCTCAGCAGGGAGCCTGCTTCCCTTCCCCTCTCTCTGCCTGCCTCTTTGCCTACTTGTGATCTCTGTCAAATAAATAAATAAAATCTTTAAAAAAAAAAAAAAAAAGATACCTATTTCTTGATTCCATTGCTGAAAAGGTCTAGAAACAATTAAAACCGAAGCATGAGCACCACTAATGCCCAGTCTGTGATCTCTCTAAATCTACTTCCTATACAGAAACCAAGGCTCTTCGGAGAAATGGTTGTTTACAAGTTAGCAGACAGGAAATATATAGCTGGGCCTGGGATAACTTGCTGTGCCAGAAAGCAAGAAAGCTATCAAAGGCTACGTAGGCCATGTTTAAAAGAAAGAAGTAACGTGAAGGAATCCTACTGACCAAACATGGAACAATTTAGATACTAAAAAGAATATGGGGGACACTTGTGAGGCTCAGTTGGCTAAGCATCCGACTCTTGATCTCAGGGTTTTGAGTTCAAGCCCCGCACTGGGTTCCACACTGGGTGTGGAGTCTACTCAAAAAAAAAAAAAAAAAAAAAAAGAATATGGACTGTGATTGATTGAAACACAAATATGTAAAAGAAAAAATAGGAGTTTATAATGATACCATTCTCTGACTACCTTTTGTGGTTTTTGAGGTTCCTAGGTGTATTTTTATAAAAGTTGTGAAGCAGAAAAACATTTTTCCTACCTTCACTATACGCATTATATTTTGGGGTAAACAGATGGTAGATTTGAGAAAGACCTTTACAGCAGAATTTCAGCTAATGAACGCAGAAAATGACAGAACTGCATTCACTAGTATAAATGGTAATGGGGAAATTTATAATAAATGAATTAGGCTGAAGGCACTTAAACCCAGCACTCTACCTTAGTATCAACTAAAAGCAGGATAACCATTACATGCCTCCTAATGTAATACTACAATTTGGTTCTCAAATTGTGGTTGATGGACCACCAGCATTACCTGGGAACTTGTTAGAAATGCAGATTCTCACAACCCACCTACAGAACTGGAATCTCTGAGAATGGAACTAAGGAATCTGTGTGTTAACAAATCTGCCAGATGATTCTGATGAACATTAAAGTTTCAGAACCAACCTGCCATAGCAAATACACAGGACTTCCCATGAAATAAACTTTCTAAAACAAAACTAACCTGAATCTAAGCAAGTCTCTAAATCTAACAAAAATATGAAGATCAGAGATATTAATACAGCACCTGTAAACTTATATAAAAACTGTTACAGATGCATACTGAAGATGCACACTTGAGAATACCAGCAAAAGAGAGGCGCCTGCGTGACTCAGTCGGTTAAGCATCAGTCTCTTGATTTCATCAGCTCAGGGCTGTGAGATTGGGCTCCACGCTGGCTGTGGAGCCGGCTTAGGATTCTCATTCTTTCTCTCTCCCTCTCCCTCTGCCCTCCACCCCACCACCGCTCCTATGCGCCCTCTCTCTCTCAAAATAAAAAAGAATACCAGCAAAATATAAATCTGGTATTTGGTTTCCTACATAGGAAAAAAAGGTTGGGGGAATACATGAAGCAAAATGTTTATAACTGTTGATGAATGGGAGACACACAGGGGTTTAATACATTATTTCATTTACTTCTGTTTTTGAAGTATCTGTAATAAAAAGTGAAAAAAAAACTCCAAACCAATCTTATTAGTGATTCTCTTAATTAACATCTTTATCCTTACTTATAAAGCAGTCTTTTATAAACCATACAAGGTAAAATGATATTTGCTGCATGTGGATCTCACCTCCACTCTCAATATTTGTAATTAACAGAGTCCTCTGGGACTGATACTGCATACTGCAACGAAAGTTAACTGAATGGGGCACCTAGGTGGCTCAGTGGGTTAAAGCCTCTGCTTTCATTTCAGGTCGTGATCCCAGGGTCCTGGGATCGGGCCCCACATCAGGCTCTCTGCTCGGCAGGGAGCCTGCTTCCACCTCTCTCTCTATCTGCCTGCCTCTCTGCCTACTTGTGATCTCTGTCAAATAAATAAATAAAATCTTAAAAAAAAAAAAAGAAAGAAAGAAAGTTAACTGAAGGCACAGTCCCAAAGTTAGATGTTCAAACAAAGATTGCACCAAGTAAGCATCTGGTGACCACATAATAATTTTAAGTAGATAAGGACCAATGGCAAATCAGATTCACTTCTTAAAAACCATATGCAGCCATTTTATTGCTACAATGCTACTATTCTCAATTTCTATAATGTCCACAGTTTTTCAGATGTTGGCTGTGTTCCCTCTGCAGGACAGTATGACCATGACTTGTGATCATTATTAGTTCAGATCAACTTGGGCACTATTAGCACATGTATATAGCCCAAGAAAAAGAACCACCAAACACCCCTTTAGGTAATAAAGATAACATTCTGAAGCTCAACAAGAACACCAACCAAACCGAGTGTAGTAAGGATCAGACTCAAGAGTCACAAGTCCTGGCATGGTCAGTGGCCCCAGACCTATACAAGCCTCACTGCTTCTCCCCACACCTGGAACGTCTGTGGCACTGCAAAATTATAATAACAAATTCTACTCTGGGTACAGCCTTTATCAATCAGAAATCCTCAATGCTAGGCTCACCTTTGCTGTTCCAAACTGTGACAGTGGGAAGACTGCTTGACATCTCAGAAGGAAAATGTCACACACACACACACACACACACACACACACACACACACCTCACAGAAACTGGGACAAGCATGTTGTTGCTCAAAAAAAGAAACGTATGTTTTGTTACCAGAGAAGAAATTTTTAAGAAAACTCTCTTCTTCTTTCTGCTGGAAACTCCTGTACTAGATATGAATATAAAATAGAGCCCAGACTCACACTTTAAGGATTTCATGCACATTCCCACAAACACTTCAGCTTACCCCTTTGCTGATATAGCCAGCCAGCAGGAGGGAGCCTATGATTATGAGAAAGGCCCCAATCAAAAACAGCACTGTCGCAAGCGCGATGGCCTTATATGGGATCTTAGGAGGACTCTTCTTAAACTGAAAGAAAAACAAACAAAAGACATAGCATTATGAAAATACCAGGACTGAAACACTTTAAAGCAAGGAGGATAATAAGAACCAATATGGTTGGTTTGTGTGTCTTGAAGGAAGTCCTACTACCCACTAGAGCTCTGGGAAAGAAAGGCAAGGGACAAACAGGAGGTGAAGCTCTAATTACTGCTCTAATAGCCACTCGGAGGAGTCCCAGCAGAATGTTACTCTTTCTACTTCTAATTTTATTCCATATACCATTCACCATAAGAAAATATTTTCTTACAAAAACAGAAGATACTTTATGGTCATTCATTGATTAGATATTAGATACTTATTAAGTGCCTGGCACATGGAAGGCTGTAGTAATCTCTAGGGATTCAAGAGGAACATCGTGATCTGGAGAAGTAAAGAAAACAAGTGACTTCTGGCATTCAAAGTTAAGTGAGCATACAGTCAAAGGTTTTAGAAACCTTTTTCTAAAGCATTAGTTGCCCACCCCAGGGATCAAGTAACCTGACTTGTTAATAAGTTCCATTCAAAGTTAAGATTCAGACACAAGCTTTCTGAGATTTGCCTCATTTCTGTATCTGACCTAATGGGCTGGAAGCTTCTCAGATGTGCTTTCAAAAAACAAAACTTCTCTCCTTCAAGTATGGGTCCGAAGAGTGCAGAGAGTCATTGATTTGTTTATATTTAAAGGGATGGGTTCCTGCCTCTTCCTCCTTGGCCCTGGTTCCACCTAAACTATTCCAAGGGAAAGTGGGCAGAAGGAGATATGCTACACCATTAAGTATTTTATAAATAACGAATCAGGGTAGGATACAAACTTAACAAATATTAAATATTCTGTTTTACTTACTGTTTGCCAAAAGAATACCTTTAATAAATTGGATCTCATGACATCAGGAAAGAAGGAAGATTCCCACAATCTGTTGGCTTTAGCAGTTAGTTTCTCCCTTAAAAGATGAACTGGCTTTGACTAAAGTGTAAACGAACCAATGACACAGTCCTTAAAAGAAATTCTACTTAACAAAACACAATCTGAGTATTTTCCAGAAAAACTAAATAAAATTTGTAACTACTGGGCTTTGGCGTTATAACTAAAAATTCTTAGAAATGAACAATGTTTATACTGGTTTGAAACTGGTCTACCAAGCCCCCTCCTTCTGCAAATTATGGCTGAAAGGGTCTCAGAGGTAAGTGTCCTTCTTGCTGCTTCTTCTAATCCCCAGAGACAGCAAAACCTCCACGTAGAAGGTCTTCCTGCTAACTCAACAGAAACGGAGCCAGCCAGTCTCATTAATTCCCTTCCGCATTTACCTGAAGGTCAATGTAGCCATCGTCTGTGCTGGAGAGCCTTGAGTATTTCACTTTGCTACTGGGGATTCCAGTAGCCAGGTTGGTACGAGACGGCATCATAACACACTGACAAGCTACAGTCTGAAGACAAAGAAAACTGTCATTATATGCCACTGACCACAGTGTGTTACATATATTAGAATTTGGGCTGAGATGTCATACTAAGCAGCTGGCAATTCACGCCCCACTGCACTTAAGATCTGATATTCCTTTGACAAAGTGAAAACATTCTCCGTATGTACCTTCTCTGGCTTGTCCTGGTAGAATGAAAGTCAGGACACTGACCAAGAAACAGACCTCATGTTTATCTTCTCACCAATATTCCTGTGCCTCCTAATTTTTCCAAACCCTCCACACAGAGCAGGTGGAAGAGTGGTGACTTAAATCCAAGTCTGACACCAAAGTCCACATTTTCAGTCATTCTGCTATAGTACTGCCTGGCCACTGTCCCTGCTTCAGGAAAAAGCAAGAGGAGCATAAGCTCAAATGATTCTTACTTGCCAGGGAGGGAGAATGGGTGGGATATGGAATACACTCACATTAAGCATTTTGTTGATTCCCCCTAATGGGTATCATTTTAGGGGGTATCATTCTTTTATTTATATTTTTAAATTTAATTTTATTTAATTTTTAAAAGATTTTATTTATTTGTCAGAGGGAGAGAGCACAAGCAGGGGAAGCAGCAGGCAGAGGAAGAAGCAGGCTCCCCACTGAGCAAGGAGACCCATGTGGGATTTGATCCTAAGATCCTGAGATCACCACCAAAGCCCAGCAAAAGGCCGACACTTAACGGACTGAGGCACCCAGGTGTCCGGTATCATTCTTTTAATGCAAAAAAATCTGCAGAGCCTCCAGTAAATTTGGCTATCAGCACTATCACTACTGGTAATCAGCACTGTACCAGTGCCAATTTGTCTGCCTCTCTGCCCCACCCCAAGCACTGAAAGTAGTGATTTCATTTTCCAGATTACTTCTATAGCCTCCTAAAAAAGATTAAAAATAAAAACAAAACTTGTTTTTTGTGCAAAATATTCAAAATCAACTTCAGCAATGAAATCATGGCTATTTTGTCACTAGTTTAAGAGGTAGTAGATAAGATAAAAAAACAATATTTAAGTCGGAAAACATTTGTAATTTGATACAATAGACAAATCTATTTTGACTGTGAAGCTATTTCTAAAGGTGACATGGATCTGTAAAGAGAAAAAGGGCACCATTAAAAAAACCAATCCAGAAACCATAAAGACTTTGCCTTCCTCTGGTATGACACTTTGTAAACAACCATCATTATAATAATGTTGGTTAATAATTACCCACACTTAGATACCAGGTACTAGTCAAAGTGCTTTCTATATACTTTATCCCAATTATTAATGAGCTGTTTTAAGTGGCCAAGAGTCAACCTAAAATACTATGTATAATAAAAATGCTAAAATAACTAGCAATATGATGGAATTGGTGCTAAATGTGAATGTTCCTTTTTAGCAATTATATAACAGTGCAGAAATCAAGTACTGGATCCAGTATGCTAATTTATATGCTTTTCTGAAGTTAGCTCAAACTGCATTGAATACTAGGTTTTTAAGTGTTGCGATCCCGATTACATGATAACCTAAATTAATTCTACAAAATTTAAAGGCCAAACTACCGGTATGTGGGGGTTTGAGGGCATTTAATCACTTCTGATTTGTATCGTCTTTTTAAAAAAAAGTTTACGGACTCTGCTTTACCTATTCACACACCCGCATCAAAATAAAAAAGCGAAGGGTGTGAGGGAGAGGGGCGACGAATGCTTACTGGTAGCAAAGAGTAAGAATTCTGCAAGAGGAAGGAAAAACGTAAACCGAGGTTTTCAGAGTACCATTCAAGTTCCCCAAAGGATTTTTTTTTTTTTTTTTTTAAACCGGTTCCACCGCAACTCTTAAACTCCCTGAGCACGCCGGGGCTGCAAGGCTTTAAAAGCATCAGTAAAACACTTAGCGCAATGCTTAGCATTATGCGCCTCCACACGCACTATCTTCCTGCCCGTCTCCAGACCTAGCCAGGAAGACAAATAAAAACCGACGCGAATTTAGACGGAAACAAACAAAACCGGTTTCTGGGAAGAGGCCAGCGGTGGCCCAGGCTGGTGAACGCTCCACACCCAGGACGCGAAGCTAGATTTCGGCAGGGAGCGCAGTCTCGGCCCCGCCGGGCGCCTGAGGGGGGCGCTTCTGTTCCCGCCCCGCCGAACACACGCCTTACCGGAGCGCAGCGCCAGGCCGCCCGCGTGCCGACAGCTCGCTCACGGTTGGCAGCAGAAGCGCCTGAGGCCTCATGGCCTGCCTCACCTAACTGCCAACCCTCAGCCGCCCCCCTTGACGCCGGAAGTGGCCCGCCGAACGGCTGCGTACCGGAAGTGGCGTCACCGGGAGCGACGTCTCTCAGTCCCCTTTCCGGAACTTGTTTTCGCCTTGCGCTAGTGGTAGCTAGTGGTTGCATACTGCGGACGGTATCGGCGGCGGGAGTCGCTGCGGCCTGGGTTTGTTGCCAGGCACCTACACTGGGTTATGAAGGTGTCAAGGGTGACCGTTCCTGGAGTCCCAGTCAGACTCCGGGTGAACCTGCTACTTGTTTCTTCCCCTGATCCCTGGGGCAGTGTTGGAAGCTGAGTGGCACCCACGGGAGACAGAAGCTGACAGTGAAGCTGCGGATGACTGGAGCTGGCAGGTTCTAATTCAGTGCCCACGGCTGTAGGCCTTCTCCTGGGCGCGCCGCGGTCTCTGCATCAATACCCCACCACTACTCTCACGTGGCCCCTCATTCTTGTGTTTCAGTTTCCCGCTCCTCAACATCAGGCCTGGACCAAGTAAGAAGCCCGCCCACAAGGGACATTTTGCAGCACATGAAGCTTTGTAAATGTCAGATTTATTAAAGTATAATTTACATACAATAAAGTACAATTGGATGAATTTGACAAGTGTATACAGTCTTGGAACCATCACCGGTCTATATTAAAGTTACATCATTCCCAAAACTTCCATCAGGCCCCTTTGCAGCCAATATCCTTCCCTGCCCCCAGGGACACAGAAGGTAATTACTAGCTACCTACTGGGTATAGTGGGTTATACCTCTAGTAACCAGAACTCAGTCCAGGTACTACAACAAAGGAACCAGTCGTTTAAACCACCAAGCACAGAATACACCAGGAATAAAGGACTTTAATAAAGCGATTCTCAGTATGTGCTATGCCAGTTTGGCACAATTAGTAGGAACATTTAAACAGTCTGTTTCACAACTGCTAGGATTAAGTCCCAAAAAAGGCCACTTATACTAGAAAAATTATTTTTGCACAAACATATTGCTTGGCCCCTATCACAGATCTACTAAATCTTTCAAGATTCTTTTAAAAGGCTCCCTAGGCTAAGACACTGCCCTGTAACAGTGCTAGTCTTCTAAAGCCCACACAGCTTTGGGTACATAAAGCTGGAAAAAAAGTGTTAGTTTTTGCTAACAAAATTGACAAAATAACAAAATATATAGGTCTACTCTCCTGTTTATTTCTTGAACTCAAGTTAGAATACCAAAACAAGTTTGACAAATGAATCCCCAAAAATACCTTGTCACCTACTGTAGTTGGAATACTTTTTATTGCTGTATCAAATGTATTTTTATCAGGCTGCTCTAGACTGGAAAAATAAGCACATTTACATGAAATGGTAGCTTGAACTGAATTCCCCAGGATACTTGGAACAGTCATGGTCCAAATGAAGGCACTGTCTTGTTATGTTTGAAATTCAAAAAACTTTTATTTAAATTGAAAAAAATTCTCAAAACTGCATTTAGAATCAAAACCCTTTTGTTATGACTACACAAGTATTTTTAGGTAAGGCAGAAATATTTCTAGGTTAACAAGACCAAATTTGACTTTGGATTTTATTCTTTAAACAAATTGTAAAGAGTGAAGGAAAAAATAGGTTATTTACAGAAAATATCTACATATGTACTCAAGAGGTACAAATTTGGTGACGAACTTAGTACATGCTGGCATCTCAGAAGCAGTTCTTAAAGAGCTTAACTTTATTTTCTTGGATTTTAAGAACACCTAAGATCCTTCTTCATCCTCGATCTTGGGAGCCAAATAGTACTTTAAATGTCCCATGTCGGCAATTTTATACTCTACAACTGAAAGAAGACAGGAACACAATTATTGAGAAGTACCACATATACCATCTACAAAACAAGATTCAACAAACCGATTATCTTACCAAGGGGTACATCTGCAGACATACTGAGTGTTACTGTAGGAGAGAGCGGAGTGGCTTTTGTAAAGAAGTTCAGGTATCTCAGTGCAAAAGTTAGCTGAACTGGCTCATTCATCTCTATAGTAACCTGAGAGAAAACAGAAAGATTAATCATATTGAAAAACATCAAGAAAATGCAGTCCATTAGTTCAGAATATATTTCTAAAGATTTATTTATTATTGGGGCGCCTGGGTGGCTCAGTGGGTTAAAGCCTCTGCCTTCGGCTCGGGTCATGATCTCAGGGTCCTGGGATCAAGCCCCGCATCGGGCTCTCTGCTCAGTGGGGAGCCGGCTTCCCCCTCCCTCTCAGCCTGCCTCTCTGCCTACTTGTGATCTCTGTCAAATAAATAAATAAAATCTTAAAAAAAAAAAAAAAAAGATTTATTTATTAGAGAGAGCGTGAGTGCGGGGAGAGGCAGAGGCAGAGGCAGAGATTCCAGGCTGAGTGCTGAGCCCAAGCAGGGCTTGTTCCATGAGATCATGATCTGAGCTGAAACCAAGAGTCGGATGCTTAACTGACTGAGCCTCCCAGGCACCCCTAGAATATATCTTTAAAAATAAAACAAAAAAACCCTTATTGGGTTACTTTGGAGAGTGATATGAAACTAATTTTGAGGACTGGTAAATAAAGCAAAAGAATCAAGTATTTAGTCTGTTTTTCCCATATGAACTGTAGCTCAGGTAAACAAAATTATGTGGTAAGAGAAAACTTCTTTATGGGAATGTTTCTAATAAACAAATCAGCTAATAAAAGGAGGAATGAAATGTATTAATACAACTCTAAGGACCTAATGATTCTAAACAATTATTATGGCTGCTAAGAAAATGTAGACACCTCATACCTAACAAGGGGTATACATACAAGCATCTGTAAAGTATTCTTATTCTCTCACTCCCAAAACAAAGAAAACACTGAATTCAAGCCTCTAGCGCTGTAGCTACCAGTTTATAGGAAATATAGGTTAAAGAAGAATATTAATTGACATAAGGGATACAATAGGCAAAATCCAGATTTCAGGAAAACTCAATGACAAAGGACTTGCCTCAACAAATTGTAATGGAGAGGGGGGATAAAGAAATTGAATGGAAAACCAATGGATTAAAAGAATTTGAGGGCCTATCAGTGAACTACAGTGTACAGAGCTTATTAAAATCTTGATTCAAACAACTTCTGAAATAACCAAGGAAATAGGAAAACACTGAAAAATTCCTTAATACCAAATAACGTCATAAACACTCACATTTCAGATACAAAAATACTTATAGAACTAATCTGAGATTAAAAAAAAAAAAAAAAAAAATCCAGAATGGCAGGGAAGTTACCATGTAATTTAGCAGAGATAATACAGAATTAGCCCCTGAACTTTTGCTAGTAATATTTTTAAGTCTTCATTTAAACTGAGGGTTGACTACTCATGCAAGGAACTAGAATATCTAATAATTACTATAAACATAAAATGTAACACACTATGGTAAGCACTTTGAATGTTACCACATTTAAGCCTAATAATCCTATGAAGTTAGAACCTTAAATTGTCCTTCATTTACAGAATTAACTGATGTTTTTTCAAAGGCTAGTAAGGCTTTTAAAAAAAAAAATACAAAATATTTGTTTATAAATACTCTTCTAAAAAAAAGCACTTGATTTTCTAGGAAAACTTAAGGATGTTTAGTAATTAGAGTGTTCTTTGTCCCTAAATGGAGGTTCTCTAGGCCCCCTACTGGGCCTACATTGTTGAAACTTAAATATAAAGATCACATAAGAGCTCCTAAAAGGTTAATTTTTACCTCCAACTAGATCCTCTGTTGAGTTGCAATTACCCTGCTATGGACTGAATGTCTGTGTTCCCAAAAAGTTCATGTTAAAACCAAATCCCCAAGTGATGGTACCTGGAGATAGGACCTTTGGGAGGTGCTTAGTGCTGGTACCCTTTTAAAAGAGACCCGAAAGCTCCTCTGACCCTTCTATTGGGCGAGAAGCCCACTGTCTGTGAACCAAGAAGCAGGTCCTCACCAGACACTGAATCTGCCAGCTTTCCAGCCTCTACAACTGTCAGAAATAAATTTCAGTTGTTTTTAAGTCATTGTCTACAGTATTTTGCTATAGTAGCCTGAACAGACTAAGGCACAATCTAATGTTAAGAAGGGTTACCATTCTCAAAAAAAGAAGAAGAAGGGTTACCATACTCTTCAGAGTATTTTGTTAGTTAAGAAACTACTTACAGCTTCCTCCTCCTTATCGACATTACTTGTTTGTGACAACTTAATATTTCCATTTCCTAGTTCTCCACTTGCAGAAAATTTCACTCCATCTTTTGCACAGGAAATTACAACAGCATCTCCAATATGACTGAGATCTCGGCATATACGTGCAAATTCACCAGAAGGCATCTTTACTACACAGCTATACTCTTGTTCCTAATAAAATGAAGTAAAATAAAAGTTCATCTGCTGGAAATTAAAAATTCTCCTTTTCTGAAGACTCTGCATCTAGATAAAAATTCAGAATTTAAGATTTCCTAATTACTTTGAAATATCACTCATTGTGTAATTTCATAACATACTCTAAACCTCGAAAAGCAAATATAGATATAAAACAAGTATGTCATAATAATTATACTTAGAAAACTAAAATAAGAGTTTAAACCTTTAATGATAAATGCACTATTCAAGGAAAAGAGCCTTCTCCAATCATCCTCCAGGGCTAAATCGAGAGGACATTAGGGCATGGCATACAAATGATGAGGTGTATGCAAACAGGCCCAACTGCTTACCAAAACAAAACAAGAAAACAAGATACTAAGGATTTTAAACATCTTAACTCTCCTTTTATGTTGACAAACCCAACCTTAATGAATTTCTGCTAACACAGCCTTAAAGTCTACTCTTGGGAGGAAAAAAAAGCATGGAGGTTAATGCTAATATACATTTGGCAGCAATCAATTCAACCAGATTCAATTTAGAGTACTGTAGTTTAATGAAATTACAAATGTCAGTCTAAATACTAAATCCCTACTTTGGAACACGTACAGCAGATATACAGAAGTTCCATTAGGAAT